TTAAAAAAACAAAAGTCAGTAGCCTATGTGTTCTTCCAAACTATCCTCTACATATGCCAAATTTCATCGAGATCTGCTCAGTAGTTTAGGCAACAAACTTTAAAAAACATCTATCTAAACTTTCGCATTTGTAATATAACGAGCTGTTGCCCGCAACTTCGTCCGCGTGGTGTCAAAAAACATACGAGCTATGTAAATTATAAAAAGCTACGTATCCCTCGGGAACCGGACATTTCTCGGGGATGAACCTTATCCCATGTGTACTCCAGACTTTCTTTTATATCTGTGCTAAATTTCAATAAGATATGTTGAACCGTTGCAGAATGATCGAGTAAACATTAAAAAACTAAATTAATGAATCCCACGGAAACCTTAACTATTTCCGGGATAAAAAGTAGCCTATGTGTTCTTCCAGAATATGCTCTGAACCTGTGTAAAATTTCATGGAGATCCGTTCAGCCATTTAGGCTCCAAATGCTAACAAAAATCCATCCATCTATCCATCCATCCATCTAAACTTTCGCATTTACAATATTAGTAAGGCTAGTAAGAAGTAACATGTGACACTTTAGATGGATGGATGTTACAAAGTATCTCTAGAACGGACATTTGTCACATATATAGAACATTCTCTAGAAAATAACATATGTTACTTACTTTTTTGGCCGACTTCCCAAAAGGAGGTACTCAATTTGTCTGTATTTTTTTTTATGTATGTTACGGCATAGCTCCGCCGTAGTGGACCGATTTTGATAATTCTTTTTTTATCCGAAAGGTAATGCTTGCAGGTGGGTCCCATTTTTTTGTTTGATTTTTGGTGTGAAAGACTGACGTAGTTATTTAATTCCGTGCGAACGAATGCACGAACAAGAGCTATAATTGCATGTTTTTTTTTTAGCCAAAATCGTATGAATTCGGTTATACAGTAAAGGATTCTCATTCTGGTAACGACTACGGCCGCAGAGAGAGGTCCGACGGGCACGAGGTGCGCGGCGAGTACAGGGTGTTCCTACCTGACGGGAGAACTCAGATAGGTAAGCTTATAGCGTGGGTTTACATGTTTAAATACAAAAACCCGATTGTAATCGTAAGAAAACTCTTTCCATATCATCGTCTTGTCCCTCCTAGATGAATACGACAATGGAATACGATTCAAATACTAAAAGCGCACATGACTAAACTATCGCACTGTTTAGTCTCGCTTTGATTACGAGCTTATATGGAGGTGCAGACTCGATTGTTAGTTGTGCAACAGAACAGTTGAAGCTGCGAAACAATCGACAATCGCACGCAGTTGTGTGCGATTGTTCCCGCTGTAAATGGTACAGTTTGAATGGATGTTAGTTTGTAGCCTAAACTGCTAAACGGATCTCAATGAAATTTGGCATAAATGACATTCTGGAATAATACATACTTATTAATATTTTTATTCCACACGGACGGAGTCTGGGTTAAAGTTGTAAAATGTACATGTCTTAGTGAAAGCCCACGGTTATTATTACAAGTTCTTATTATTGCAGTGACATACCACGCGGATTGGAAGACAGGCTTCCACGCCGACGTGAGATACGAAGGCGAGGCGACATATCCCATTGTACAAGGTGAGTGACAATGGATTGGATATCTAGAGATAATAGCTGACTATCCAATCCATTGTGTTATGAATCCATTTATGGATTGGGTACTAGGCTTAAGTAATTTTTTTATCGTAGTAAAAGTATCATTTTATTTTGATGTCTTTAAAAGAACATGAGAAAAAGTCTTTCATTTATTTTTTTAAAATTTCCTTTGTTTTTTTTTCAGGTTATAACTACAACGCGCCGTCAGATTTCTCTGGTTCGTTAACCGGTTTCCATGGCAACGAAGTCTCTAAACACCCAGATTATGGTCAAACTGGGTATTATTGATTGAACTAAACAATTCGTGTACAAATGAACTATGAATAAAATTCTTCAACCAAAAGAGTATTTAGGTTAAGTTTTAATAACTTAAGTGAATTAATAAACTTTTTATAAGACAATGTGTTTTATTTGACGAATAAAGTAAAGACAGTTTACCTATTGGTGATAAATCGTGAGAGTCAAAACGGCATGTAGCATAGCAAGGTATTTTTTACATACCCTTAATTGAAACGAGTAGAAAATTGACCATAGATAAAGGGGAAAATAAAGATTTTTTTTAAAATAATCTATTGTTTGTGGAAGAGAAGACTGATGTATAAATCATCTTACTAATATTATAAATGCGAAAGTTTAGATGGATGTTTGTTAGCGTTTGTAGCCTAAACGACTGTACGGATCTTGATGAAATTTGGCACAGGATTAGAGCATAGTCTGGAAGAACACATAGGCTACTTTTTATCCCGGGAATATTTACGGTTCCCGTGGGATTCATTAATTTAGTTTTTTAATGTTTACTCGATCATTCTGCAACGGTTCAACATATCTTATTGAAATTTGGCACAGATATAAAACAAAGTCTGGATTACACATGGGATAACCTTCATCTCAGAGATATGTCCGGTTCCCGAGGGATACGTAGTTTCTTGTAATTCATATAGTTTGTATGTTTTCTAATACTACGCGGACGAAGTTGCGGGAAACAGTTCGTCATTCATAAAAGGTATTTATTATATAGCACTTACCAAAAAAGTATCTGAAATGTACTATTGAATACCTCGCTTAAAAATGTAATAATAACAAAAAAATCTCTAGAATGTAACAATAACATAATTAACGTAAACCCCATTAATTTAATTACTCCACTCTAGTACACTACACTATAGTACTTACTTTAATATGGCGAGTGTACTATATTTTTTTACGATTACTTATAAACTATGATTATACTAAACTATAGTTTGTCTAAATAAGATAGATTAGTTTGATAAATGACGCATATGAAGTATCGAATTCAATTTGCATGAAAGCAAATGCCATACTTAATAGACAGGTATCGTAGTTACGAAACACGCAGCGAAAAATTTCGAACTATCGATATTCGGTTTTAAATAATTATCGTACTCAACTAAAGTTATTATTTTCTTCTGAAGACAATTCTAATATTGATTATAGTGTAGAGAATTTAGCGATGACAGAAATAATAGCGAAATCCAATTCGATTACGTACGACTGTAATAATTATTTACTCTCATTATTTGTTATGGTCATTATTAATTTGAGAAAACAGTTTTTTAAAATTTAAAAGTTATAACTATAAATCTATCGATTTCAACTTTTATAATAAAAATCGAAAATCGATAAGATTCGTGACTCATTTTACACAATATCCCTACTAAATTTGAAATGAATTGTCAAACTAATCTAAATTATTTAGACAGTATAGCGGCTAAGCCTCCGTGAAATAAAAATGTAGCCTATGTTACTCACTGATAATGTTATAACGGTGAACATTTTTGAAAGCCCAGTTGTTTTTGAGTTATTGAATACAACCAAAAATACAAATCATTCCTCTTTATAATAGTATAGATTGACGTGAATATTTCGAGTACCTAAATAGTTCTAGAGAAGGTATTTTTTTGAGCTAGGTACGAATAATACATTTTAGGTACAGTTTTTTTTAAATGTAAAATTTAATTACCATAACACGCCATTTTGAATTACCGAAAATCCGCGAAGTTTTGATACAGAAAAATTGTATTTTTCCTTTCAATAAAACTTCGTCTTACAAATAAATTATGTAATTGAAAAATGTAGGATTAAAATAAAATGCATATTAATTTAAATATTCATTTATTTATCGAAAAATAATTTAATGCACAATTTATTACATCTTTGCTTCTGGTGAAACACTTTTCAAATCTGTTTGGTAATACTTAAGTTCGGAATGGTAATATTTTTTATTACTAATTTTTACATTCCAATAGTTTGTCTATATTCTAGAATTTAAACACTATTTTTATGTGCAATGACTAATAAACCCATTATATGGGATTTTATTCAAAATAACTCACATACATACAATATTTTATTATACAGGTTGTTTTAAAATTCTTAAATTATTCTTTCTCATACACAAAAAAACATAAATATTTATAAATACTGTCAAACTCATATGAATACAGCGTGTTCAGAAATGCTTGTGCCAATTAAAAACTGTAATTCTGCTAAGGATTCCTTAAGCGTTGATATCTTATAAAATCTACACTGACATTTAACAGTTGAGTGGCAGTTTAAAAAACTTAAATACAGCATGTCCCAAAATTCTAATTCATATAGTTCACGAAAACAGAATTATAGGACTTACTGTATTTTTACAAATATTGAAAGCGTTTTTTTTGCTTAATAATACTTCTATATATTAAAATTTTTACATATTTCGTAATTACTGACGTATATTGAAACCAATTTTAATATTTTTTATGCGTTTGTTACAATCTGACAGATGTCATAATTTAAGAAGCTTTTAAATGTCGTTTCAGTATAAGGCTGTGTTTTTTTATAATACATGTAAGGTGGCAAACGAGCAAACGGCCACGCACGAGGACGAGACGCACATAAAAAAGACATTCCCGTTCCTATGCGTCTCGTTCACTGTCAAATCCTATTTTCCTTCCCATCCTTTCCTCTTAAGAAAAGGGTGAAAAGGGAAAAGGACTAAAATTAGGCAATTATTTATTGTTACACAGCGAGCCAACCGCTCGTTCCGTCGGGCAACTGAAATTGTATGAGTCTTGTGACGTTTGCATTTGTTGCGTCTATTGTCTCTATTTGCTGGAAAAAACAATTACTATATTAAAACTAACTAACAAATATAAGAAATAATACTAAATGTGCTGTGTTTTAAACGCGTTTTTTTTTCATAACAGAATACCTCTTCAAAAAAAAAAAAGATTTAATAAAATAAAATGTTTTATTGAGTGATATTTGAACTTTTTTACTAATTTATTATTTAGATTTTTCATTCTCACATCTAATATATACGTTTTATGGTAATATAATATACTCTATGACACTCGGGGAAATAAAACGAATCGAATAACACCTTTTTGGTTAAAATCGGTTGCATAGTTCATGCTGTAGGCAGTTACAAAGAAATTTACATGAAAACTTATACACGAAAAACTCTTTACGTAAGGTATAAATAGGCTTGAATCCTATTTTACTCGCGTCTGTCAATTTAATAATAATTTATTTATTTATTTCATGTAAAAATTACATATTTAATTGTAGCATCCTGTAGCCAAGATAACTGAAACGATTTTGCCAAATGAGGTGTCATTCGATTGGTCTTCTACCCGAGAGTGTCATAGGGTGTCATACATTGGCATAAAACATATATATTAGATGTAAGAATTAAAAATATACAAGAAATTGCAAGAAAATTGAGTTCAAAACCCGTTCGTTATAACTTTTTTTATATTTTTTTTTCAGTATTTCGGGAGTGTCATTTTTTAATTATTTTTACTAAAAATAGTGTGTTTAATTTATTATTTACTTACTGAATCATCTCCATTCAATTGTTCTTCAGAAACTGTCTCTAAGAGGGAATTATCTTCTTTCTCCGTAGATATATTATCTGTTAATAAAAATATTTTATAGATTTTATACACTGGTATTATAAATGCGAAAGTTTAGATGGATGTTTGTTAGAGTTTGTAGCCTAAACTGCTGAACGGATCTCGATAAAATTAGGTTTAGATGTAGAGAACATTCTGGAAGAACACATAGGCTACACAGTTTTTTTTTTAATTCCACGCGGAGTCGCGGGCGAAAGCTAGTATTGTAAAAAAGCAATAATTATTAAGTAACTAAATCTTTTTATTTACTTAGAAAATTACTCAAAGTTTAAAATTTAATTATTTTAAAGTTATTGTTAATAATGTCATTAAATAAATTGTATTAATACTTGTTAAATTAAATATTGTACAATATTAATTAATTTATTTTATTTACTTCAATGATAAATAACTTACGTAAAGTAATCATCGGTTGAACTTCATTATTTTGAGCTATATCCAGAGTTGAATTTTCTAAAAAAAAACACATTAATACATTTCAAACAACAGTGGTTGACTATGGCATAGTCACCCCATATTAGGGTAGGTTCCGAGCCCCTCAGTGAGGACCTATAGTGAGCTGGTGATGAAACAACAGTGGTAGAGCCCGCTTTAACATCTTCACACTGCAGGGCTCGCCCCCAGCAATACAACCACACAGACAGGCGTGAAGTAGAAGCAATTCCGCGTACAGTCTGATGAATGTGGTGCCGGAGGCCTAATAATCACTTTCCCTTTTCACCCTTTTCTTAAGAGGAAAGAATGGGAAGGAAAAGTGGATTTGACAGTGGAAGGGACACATAGGAAGGGGAAATGTCCTCTTTATGTGCGTCTCCTCCGTCAATGAAGGGTAACGCAGCTGCAATTGCGTATGTTTATGGGCAGCGGTCGCTTTCCGTTTCGGTGGATTCAGGCCGACGCGTTTGCTAACTTATATTATATAAAAAGAAATAAAAAAAATTAAACATAAAAATAAGAATATAATAAAAACTTACCTATAGATTTCTCATTATTATCCTGAGCTTCAAAGATCTGAAATAAACAAAAAATGTTTTTTTCATTCTTTATCAAATAAATTACCAAACATTTATAAATTGGTATTACCAAACATTTATATTTTCAAAAAAGAAAAATTTAATATTCAAGGAAACAAATAAGAGAATTGAATTTTTATTTTAATTAAAAAGATTAATTATTAAACTCAAAATAAACACTAGCTGTTGCATGCGACTTCGTCCAAGTGAAATTAAAAAATAGTAAAGAATTTTTGAAATCAACTCAATTTTTAAGTTACTAATACATACAAAAATACAAATTCTTCCTCTTTATAATATCAGTATAGATTGATTGTAATTTAATAATTCTTTAAAAAATGCACTTTTTAATTTTCACCACAAATAATTTAAAAAAAAATTAACAATTCAAACAAAGAGATATAAAATAACATACTTCAGAACTCCTAATATTAGAAGTTTGCTCCTCCTTGCCCGGGTCTATAATGATAGTGCCCGCTGACGTCACCACCTGTGAAACAGTGACGTCATCAAACACAACCAAACTTACAAACGCCACTTTCAATAAAATAACTTACACTTTGCGGCACTTTTAATATCCTCGGCTGATTGACTACTATCGATTCTGCGAGATGACCCTGAAAAAAAAAATTCAAATACTAACTTTCTCCCGCGACACCGTCCGCGTTGAGTTAAAAACACAAAAGTAAATAGCCTATGAGTTCTTCCAGACTAGCCTCTACAACTATGACTGTTATCGAGATCCGTTCAGCAGTTTAGGCTACAAACTCTAACAAACATCTTAACTTTTGCATTTATAACATTAGTAAGAAGTATGTACTGTCTGTCGGTGTTCTAACTTAAGCTACAGCTGTTTGAACGTTTTGTACGCATTGGGACAAACAGAACGCAGCTTTTATATGTCTATGTAAAATGGTCATGTCAAATGTATTTTGCCCCACTCACTGCACTCTAATCAGTTATTTGTAAGAAGTGTACACCGCGAATTTCCGTGACTGTACATTTGGTTATGAATTAAATTATGGTTAAAACTGTATAGTAAACGTGGTGTGGTTGTTATGTTTAGTGAGTGCTGATTATGTGTTGGTTGTTTACGTATATTGTGTTCTGTACGTAACTTTTTAATATAACGCCTAACTTTAATGCGCTGTATTTGTGTTTTGTCGTGTCGATTGCGTTAGTGTTGTATTATGTCGAGCCTTGCGTTTATGTCGTGTCGTGTCGAGCGTTGCGTTTATGTCATGTCGTGTAGTATCCAGCGTTGCGTTTATGTCATGTCGTGTAGTATCCAGCGTTGCGTTTATGTCGTGTCGTGTCGAGCGTTGCGTTTACGTCGTGTCGTGTGGTGTCGAGCATTGCGTTTATGTCGTGTCGTGTTGTGTCGAGCGTTGCGTTTATGTCGTGTCGTGTCGTGTCGAGCGTTGCATTTGTGTTGTGTCGTGTAACGTTACTCACAGCATTCTTCATATGATGGTAGAGCTGCTGCTTGCGCATGTACCCGGCGCAGCAGACGACACACTCGTAGGGCTTCTTGTCGCTGTGCACGTAGAGATGTGTATTCAGGTTGTCGCGGGTGTTGAACTGACGCCCGCACACCTACATCATACTCTTTCTCTCACTTTTACGATAAAAAGGTCATCAGAAAGAGATAGCTGGC